ATTAATTGGTTATTATAATAATCAATAGTTGCAGCTGTAAACCAAATGTCATGGAATGGCTGTCCAGGGGCGTTGACTGGTCAAACAAAACAACAAGCTTTCTGAGACAGGACTGGGCAGAGGAGCCCAGAGAACTGAGGTGTTTGATCAAAGGAACTCTCTGCTRAGGGGCAAAGATCAGATGAAAGAAACAGACTGAACCTTAAAAAACTTTGCTGAGTGAAACCTTGTCGTTTTTCAGATGGTGACGGTTGGATCCTACATGATTGCAAATGGATTTTTTAACGTCTTTGGCACATGTGTGGACACACTGTTCCTGTGCTTTTGTAAGTATGTCTTTATTCACGTGTTGAAACTTCTGACAGCAAGCAACCTGTCAGCAGCTCAGTCTAACATTTTCACTCRACGCCAGAGGTCTTCAACTCCGTTCCTCCAACCCACCTGCATGTTTCCCTGCTTCACACCTGATTCAAATAATTAATTACTTGCTCAGAACGCCATCAAGTTTAACAGAAGCCTGTCAATCACTCATTAGTTCAGTCAGGTGTGTTGAAGCAGGGAAACGTCTAAAACAGGGCTGTTCAACTGGCGGCCGGCGAGTGACCAAAGTTGGGCCCGCCAATTGGTTCATTCATCTCTTCAGTCCAAACCTCCGGTTTTCTACTTTAATTACTATAAGGTATTTTAGTTAAACATGTACGGTACATGTTTGGTATCTACAGAAACGTCAGAATCTTGGCTACAAGCTGGTAAAAATKATTTCTATGAACACTCAAGACAGTTACAATTACAATCAGTTGAATATGAAATTATGAAAGTAAAAATAAAATTGGTTAAAAATTTGGCAAGTCAGAGATGTCAAAATAATATTTGTGTCAAACAGGAGGCATAATGTATTAATTTTGATACTGTTTAATTATCACTACTTTTATAGGGTTCTGTATGTTGTATTCATGATTAAATGCAGCAAAATAAACTATTTCAAAGGTAACAGATCTTTGTAATACTTGGTTTATTCACATAATAAKTTTAATTGCTGGATGTTCGGCCCCTCAGCTGTTGGCCGACAGTAACTGTGGCCCTCGGAGCAATTTAGCTGAATAGCCCTGGTCTAAAACATGACAGTGGGTGACGAGGACAAGCGTTGAAGARTTCGACACTTTGACCGTAATTTTTCTGTATGCCACTAAGCTTGTGCGTTTCTCTCTCCTCTCGCCTTTCTTTTCACCTCGGCTCCTCTGCTGTCGCTGCTCTGTTTCCTCCCTCCCTGCACCGCGGTCTCAGGCGAAGACCTGGAGAGGAACGACGGTTCCTCCTCCAGGCCCTACTACATATCCCCAGGCCTGCACAAGATCCTCCGAAAAGGAGAGGAGCGTGCCAAATCCTGTGCTTCCTCCTGAGCGACGAGCAGTTTGTTTTCCCGGACGGTTGATTCTCGCTCCATATCTGCTCGGTGTGCGCGGGGAGGTCTGCAGATTTGAGAGCAAGCACTCTAGGGCTAAACGACCAAACTGGATGCAACTCAGCCAGGTTCAGGAGCTGAACATGAAGGGGGARGTGCTGTTTCTTAAAGTCCAGGGCAATGAGGACTTGGGTGGGGTTGGGAATAAAAAGAGACTTACTTCCTCTCATGAGACGCTTGCCTTTTTGTCTGCTACGCTTTTTTTTTCTTATTCACACTCCTGTTTTCTTCTCTGTAATCTCTGCCTTACTGAGAGGACATGACACGTAACGTGGATGCACGAGCTGAGACGAAGGTTTTTTACCTAAACAACACCACCTTGAATTGTACAGATGCCAGTAATGGACAAAGGTMTCACCCTAAAAGATGGTGATTCTCCTGGGCCCCTCTCTCTTCGCACTTTGGTCTCCTGGTGAAAAACGAGATTCTGCTTTCACTTGTTTCTTTTGTGTAGCATGGTTATTTAACTGGCTGTTGATTAGTTTTTATAGGTTGCTTCAGTTCACTTTCATTTTGCTCAGAAACGCACAAAAAAAAGTGAATTCTGCCATTAGTTGCAGTGTTTTTTTTTTTTACTTTCTTTGCTACACAATCATTTCAGTTTTCCTTTTGCTCATAGATGTACTGTAACCCAGAAAGAGACTCTGTGGGAGGTCAAGACTACAATATTCATCTTTATAATGCTTCATCTCTGAACAGAACCTGAACATTTTCAGGACATCTGAATGCAGCCACTAGTTTATGTGCCTAGATGTGAGAAAAAAAAGAAAAAAAAACTTGTTCCTCCCGCTCTGTGGTTTTAGACCTAACACCAAGAACCTTTGCGGTGATGTTTCTAAAAGGATTTTTAAGCCATTTTTGGTATTTTTCTTTTCTTTTTTTTTAAAACTTGGTTGCTTCAGATGTTGTGCTGTTTTAATACTCAATATGATACACACGTCTGTCTGAAGGTTATTTCTTTTTGTACAGCGAGTTTTTTTAGGTGTGAATACAATAAAAATGTGAATACTTGTTTTTGAATAAACCTGAATGGTTCAAATATTGTCTATGTGCACTTTAAGCCATTTTGAACTAAAAGTTTGAGCTGAGCATGTTTCATGCCTTACATATTATGTTTAACTTTGATTTTTTTTTAATGTTTCTTTTCATAGTGAGGGTTCTGGAGGTGAGTGATGGTTGAAGCCGAGCCTGCAGCGTTTAGAAAAGGTTGGTAAAGATCTTGAAGAAGAGAAATGGTTTGAATGAGAGAAAAAGTAGAAGAGACGGTTCTTGTACCAAATTATGGTTCAAGCCAATGTTGCTTTAAGTTATTTGCTAAATGTGACGTTCATGTAGGTCTACCCTGGCTGGATTCTGTCTTATTTTGGAAGCAGAAATTAACTCCAAATGTTGCAATACTGAGGCCGCATGTTTGAGCCCAGGTTGCAACATGAAGGGCATCTAATAAACAAATGGACTATTTTATAGTTACTAATGTGCAAAGCGGCCGGGTCACAGGTCATTCAGTATACATGCTGAGGACATGTCTTTGGAATTGAGCAAATTGAACTGGTACATGTACACATGATGTATTTGCTTTAAACTAATTCGAGTTAAACTTTCCTTTAAGATGAGATTTTTCATAAATACCTTTTAAACTATAAATCTGCTTTTTGAGCTTGCTGCATTTCATTGTTAAATGCGTGAAATTATGTAAATCAACATCATGTTAAAAATAGTTACATATTATATTTTTTACAAATAAAAGCTTAAAATTGCTATTTTTATTATAGGCCCTTGCTATTTAAAAGTCCAGTTGTGCAATGACAGCCCAATATCCCTTTATCCAGTGTTTTTGACATAATTAGCAAAAATGATCAGATAAACGGGAAAAAAAAACAGTCGTACTTGTCAAATTTTAATAGTGAGGTAGGTTTGTTTTTACTAATAAACCTCTGACTCCTACCTACAATTCCGGTGCACAGGAAACTACTAACCAAATGTTCTATTGTTTGCTCACTGTGGTGGTGACCCCTGCAGGCGTGAGTAGCCTAAAGAAAAAACAACAACTCCAGATGTTAGTTTTTCTCTAACCATACTAATACAAAGTGATTGTAAATATTTCTAAATGTACAATAAGTACATTGTAAAAGTTTTACAGTCACAGTAATTTTACACTGAAAATTCTGTTGAAACATTTCTATATTGGAACTGTGGTGAACTCTTTCTTTGCTTCCCAAACCTTTGTAGTTCCCATGTCCTACCACAAGATGGTGCCAGTTGTTATTAGATGCCATAGTGCTGAGGAGTGAATACACAACTGATTGAAGTAATTAAACGTCAGCTCATCATCAATCACAGGTTTTTAACTCGCAGCAGCAAACATATTTACCACTTAGCACACGATACAAAAACTCTGTGTTAAATACATTATTTATTGTTTTAAAAAATGCTGATGTTCCACTGCTGCATAAATGACCCAGAAGACAACGCAGCAAGAACAGTGAATGTTTTTTTATGACCGTTACTTTATGATAAAATCTACAGTTGTGGGAAAAGAAAATTCAKCAATCAGGACATAATAAAATAAAAACTGTTTTTTACCAGTTTTTATCATGGTTAAAATTAAACTTCAAGTGTACAAAAACACACAACAGGTTGCCATTATTTATTAAACAAAAACAGCTGAAATGGAACTGTCGTGTGTAGAAAACTTCCTGCTGCTTCCATAGTAAAAATGACYCAATGCCAAGGTGGACAGACGTCAGCAATGATGGAGAAGCAACTGTTGCTGCCCTTGAATCTATCATTACATAGAGAAACATTATTAATGTGGGAAACATTGTTAAAGTTACTAAACTTCTCCATAGAGAACATCTGGACCCTGAGGTAAGACCATGCAAACGATGTCAGAAAAATAGAGAGAGGGGAAAAAAACCAAGCACTCCATCTCAGATTTTATAGGCATRAGTTAGCAGGTTAAAGGTTAAAGCTCCTGGCTTAATTRGAAAAAGACAGAAAGCCTCTTTTCAATTAAGTGAACATGGGAGCAGGACATAGTTTGAATGACGTTCTGTTCTCTGATTGGCCCGGACGAAAATTCTCCTGAAGGAATCCTTATCTATGGGAGAAATCCCAGACCGAGCAATGAAGGGAAACTAGAAGTGAGTGGAACTACGAAGGAAGGCAAGGGCCAGGCTAGGAACCTCCATAATTGAGAAGTGATTTCTTGCTGGAGGCATGCACACTTTTGAAGTTTAAAATCATTAGATCTGGTATACCCAATCACTAATGTTTGGCTTTGACATATGTAGTGTGTCAGCTCAACGTGAAGGAAGCTAAAAAGCTAATCGGAAATTGCTTGTGGTGTGAACAACCATCCCCTACTGGGAAGAGAGAAGTACCATGCCAAACAAAATGGCTGTAAATGAATGCTGCAGGTTTTGCAGGACAAATTTAATTTGGAAGCCTTGTCAYCATGGACTGAATGACTTCATTCACTTCCTCCACTGCCATTGCTGAACTACAGGCACACTAAACYACGRAGAAAATTGATGTCATTGTTCACAACGCCATCTTCTGTTCTGTTGGTCCGGTTGAAATTCTACCGGAGAAATTCATGTCAATGGGAGAAAGCCCAGACAGAGCAGAGAAGGGAAACTAAAATTGGTTAGAATTGCATAAGTCAAGGGCCAGGCTTTCCTTGACACTAAACCTGCCCATCACTTTCTCATTTCTTTTGTTTCCTTCACCAACATGTCCATTCAGGTCTGGTCTGATCTGATCACAACTCTCCTCCCCTAGGAATACACTGTCACTATAGGATCCCTTCAGGCACAACGGCCTATCAAAGATTAAAACGTGTTGATTATTGAATCACTTAAAACTTGTCAACCAGCTGAAACGCTTCGTGAGTATTTGATGACTTAAGACAGATATGGGGAACTGGTGGCCCACGGGCCACATGTAGGTTATGGATGACTTCCGTCCGGCCCGCCATTTTATTATTGAGTTATTTTCTTAATAAAAGCACTCAATTGCTCTTAGATTAATTTTTGAAAATTACAATACTTTAATTTAAAAAATATGTGGCACTGAATTGGTTGTAATGATAAAGTTTTGCCACTAGATGACACCTCTAATGCAGAAATCACCTCATGCTCAGGTCTTCTCTACCCGTGTGGAACAGATGTTTACAATGGTGGAAAGAAAACTGGACAGATAAAATGTTTCCGGTTAGTAGACTATATGTTCACAGAATTTCAAGGCAAACCTTTAGTTTAGTCTGCTGTCTGTCCTGAAAGATTTTAATAGAAGTTGCCACAACAACATGTTGCACAAAGCTAAATATGAGAAGTTTACTGAAATCACAAGTACATAAAAAATAACTTTTTACCAGAACTACAACCAGCAGAAGTCTGGAGTCTCAAGGCGTGTTGTTGTGCTTCAGCTCGCTAAAGTAAGTATTTAGTTTTTGTTTGCTTCAAACATTTTGTGTTTTATAAAAATAAAAGAGTACAATGGTTATACATGCATTTGAGCATGAAATATGTCAGGTCTGCACTGTATGTTGGTTTAGTACAGAAACATTTTAAATGGCAGTTTTATTACACTTGAGTAAGTGGACAGAGCTATGTGTCTCTCTAGAAGTGTTAACAAAAGATCTTTTTCCCCCACCACCATCATTCAAGTCGTCCATCCCTGACTTAAGCTATGCCTTTAAAAGACTTGTATCACAAAACACAAAGAGATCTGAACATGGGTTTCAATGTATTTTTAGAGATTGATGAACTAAATATCAGTWTCAGGAGTTGACAGGTCCACACTGTGTCTTTGTATTTTACTGCCATTAAAACTTTTACAGAGCCTATTTTATTTTTATGCATCACTTAGACTAACTCTCAGCCTTAGATCTTTAAAATGTGACTCACTTTTTTGGAGTCGCCATGTTTGTCAGACCTGAGAATCTGCCCCCATGGTGCCTCAGAGAGTGACAGCTCCTCTAGACTCGTACACACCCTCGGCTCCGGCTGCAGCCGAACACGCCGAGACACGCAACCATTTAGCAAAAGCAAAACAGCTCTGCTGGAGGACAAACGATGCGTGTAGCACTCAGTGGGACATACCAAGTTTCAGCCAACAATTTTTCTACACTTCTTCTTAAATTGTGAATCTTTTTCATTGCTATTAATGTGAAAACCTTGTCATTGGGGTAGAACTGTTTTTTAAAATATACCCTCTGCTGTTTCCCTTGTGTGGAAACATGATTCTTTTGGTCAACCACAATCAACGAGTAGATACAAGTTGAACCTCTCTCATAAAGCTAGCTATGATACTCCAAACTTCTCAGGGTTTGAACYTCTGCCACATGATTAATTATTTAGAAAACTCTGTGTGTGCAAATAAATTACTTTCTAAAATACACCACTTGTTTCATAAACCCACACTGTAGAAGTGTAAATCAGCAGTTTTGTCAATATGTACACAGACTCATGCATCCACCTCCAAGGGTTGTGAAATTAGATATTTATTCTTGAAAACAGACGTTAACATACAATAAATTAAATTGCACCATTTATACAAACAAATTCACCTTCATAATATGGAGTTGTTTTTTGTTGTTTTTTTTTATGAGGGTGGAGTCTATTGGCTTTCACTTAGAGTACCACAGTCAAACATTGTCACAAAGTTCACAAATATAATGTGTGAGGTACACAGAACCCTTTACACATCAGGACTTTGAGTCATTGACATCTAAAATAACTTCAAAATTAAATATCCAAGGATAAAGTGTAAGAAATAGATGTTGTAATTTTTATTTACCATGGGGMCAGAATACTACYGAGTCCATCCAGTGACATTGGGTAAAAAAAAATTAACTCATGGCCACAAGATAAACATGGTAAAGTTTAAATTAATTTTTATAAGTTCAGTAACTTGCGGTTAAACGTGAAGTAGTTCTTAGCATTATCTGTTGCAGCTATGAGGTGACCCAAAAGCTTTATCTTGTTTGAAGCCCAYTACCGAAAACAAGCTCCTCCCTTARRTCATTTGTTTTTCTGAAGGAGTCAGGCTTATGTCATGTTCAGGAACACACTAAAAAATTTTGTTTTCCCGGTGTTTAATGTCATCTCATTAATATGGCTAAATATTGGCTTTTTGCTAGCATGTTTAGAGCCTGTTGGGCACTGCGAGCTGCAGTCCAAAAACAATAAAAAAAAAAAAACATCAGTACTATGAAAACTGAACCATTTAGCCATTTAACCATCTTTGGATTAAACATGCACCAAAAATGATCTGATAAGTGTGTGTGTGTGTGTGTGTGTGTGTGTGTGTGTGTGTGTGTGTGTGTGTGT